TTCAGATCTTGTCAGGTAACTTTGCCTTGAATTTAAGTAAAAGGCTGAAAATTGGTTTTTCATCTAAAGTACAACATAATGCTATATATCTGAAACTGCAGCAAACTAAGGAGCAAAACAGTTTAAAAAAATCTTTGGCAGTTTATTCTTTTATGTGGAAAAATAATCAACCTGCTTCTTAGAAGATTTTATGCATAGCTTTTGTTTGGAACTGCCATTTAAATTTAACCTTTAAAAACTTCCTTATTTGGCATTTGCATATATCTATCTATAGTGCGGTTTTCGGCCGAGATTCCTCCGTATGTAAAACGTACTTCATGTATGGAATAAGGCCCACCAGCGACCGAGCGGTAAAGTCCCTGAACACTTGCAGTTGGTTACAGCCGAAAACATCGCGGCAAAAACATCGCAGACGAAAATGTCGCGGAGAAAACAACGCAAGGCGAAAACGTCGTGCTACAAAACATCGTGGGAGAAAACATCGCAAAGAGAAAACATCGCAGTTCTAAAACATCGTGGTACAAAACATCGTCGTCGAAAATAAAGCGGTTCAAAACATCGCCAGTTTAAAAACATCGTCGTCGAAAATATCGTGGTAAAAAAAAATAAAGTATCTACAAATCATCGCATGACGATACATCGCAGACATGCTTTTTTCAGGCATGCTTAATAAGTGTAATGGGTATTCCCATAATGATTTGTGAGCGCAAGATGGAAAGAAGGATAATTTTTACTTTCGGATTTTTTATTAATTAATAAATTTTTTGTTGAGAAAATAAAAAGGAAACTTAGCATAAAAAAATTAATGCAACTTATAGCACTTAATAGAGTTTAAACCGACATAGTTAACTAACAAAGGCCATTAATAAATCATTTTTATAAAGTTTTTAACTGGTAATATTTCATGAAAGTATAATCTATAAGTTACATTTAATTTTCTATTCTTAAGTTTCCTTCTTACGTTTTCAGCAAAAATTATTAGTAATAAAATATTGTGAAATAAAATTTATCCTTCTTTACACCTTGCGCTCACAATCATTATGAGAATATCCATTTACAATTATTAAAACCTGAAAAAAGCATGTCTGCGATGTTATCGTCATGCGATGATTTGTAGATACTTTATTTTTACCACGATATTTCGACGACGATGTTTTTAAACTGCGATGTTTGAACGCTTATTTTCTACGACGATGTTTGTACCAAGATGTTTAGGAACTGCGATGTTTTCTCTTTGCGATGTTTTCTCCCACGATGTTTTGTAGCACGACGTTTTCACCTTGCGTTGTTTTCTCCGCGACGTTTTCGTCCACGATGTTTTTGCCGCGATGTTATCGGCGGACACCCTTGTAGTTCGGTCCGAGGTTCGAATCCCGCGAGCGGGCTGACCGCATGGGCGTTTCAGTGGTTTTCCCCATGTATAACGTGTTAATACGAGTCAGATCCCTTAGAAAGTCCTCCACAAAGACATCCGTCCTTTCCATGTAGTGCCTTAGGGAGGATCACGTAAATAATAGTAATAAAAATATATGGAATAGGGTTAAAATCACTATCAAAACATATAATTTTATACATTTTCTTCCAGTTTAATGAAATGAAGTTGTTTTTTGATTTATTGGCACACTAACGAAATTTTATGACAGAGAGACATAATATTTTTGAGAAACTATAATTTATTTGCACAAAATCTACTTAAGCAAATTATACCACTTTTTGGAGTTCTCCCATTTATGAATAAATCTCCGTTCTTATCAAGTTAATTCTTTACTCTTATTATTGAAGTAAGAAATAAATCTGTGACTGCATTTTCTCTAAAACTAATTTTATATAATTAAGACATGACTTTTGAAAAAAGGTTTTTCATGTTTAGAAGTATTATAATTGTCCTGGCGAGAGAATTGCGCATTTTTCACGACTCCTGCTTTAACATAAAATACCTAATGACTTTAAGTTTGGCGCTGTGGTGCTTTAAGTTTGTTTTTGTAAACTTGTTTCGAAAATTCAGTAACGACTCATTCATTTCATTCCATTCTAATAAACACTTAATGATTGAATCAAATTTATTAATTTATATATTGTTAATTTATTGAAGTAAAATTTTCTGTGCTGGTCAATATTTTACCAAAAAAAAGTTTTAAAATTCATTAAATTTTTATATACTATCTTTCACAAGCAGAAAATTCATAATCGTAAATGGAAAAGGAAAAGGCTACAAACAGTTAAAAAAAAAGAGTTTTCATTTTCATAACATAAATTTTTAAAAATCTGTATGAACTAGTAGGCTCAAATCCTGATAATTCAAGTTCGTTTTTCGCACTTTATAAGGTAAAAATAATAATTATGATATTCAAGTTCTAATACATACATACTTCTCGCATAATTTCTCTCACGATAACATATCGCTTTCTGAAAAGCGCATGCTCATTACTCTCACCTTTATTTAATGTGACTTTCCAATCACTGTTATAAGGAACTAACTAAGAAATTTCTTATTTTCGATGTTTTTCTTTTAATCCGAGAAGTAAACAGTTTTAATAGCCCGTTAAATAATAACAGGAATCTATTGCTTAGTTAATGTTAGATTCATGAAACAGCTTTTCTAACATTTCCGTGACTTATTAATGCTAATTTATTTATCTACCACCGAGTCTTCCTTGTAATGGCCTATAAAAAGTAGTAACATCAGTGTAATATAAAACAGTAAAGATAATCATCAGTAAATATAAAAAGAATCATCAGTGTTAGCAAATTATCTCTCTTCTAATGAGAAGAAAGAAATAGTACCAATTTAGATAAAAATCAAAACATATTATTTTCATTAACTACAGCTTTTTGTACAATTAAAATTTACTTATAAAACTGTTTCTGGTAAGAAAATGGTAACTGAGAATAAATTTAATCCTTTTTCCTGCTTCAGCAATGACTACAATAACATTCCTAACTAACCTCGCTAAAAATGCTATCAAATAGAAACCTTTCACTTACGAACCGAAAATTTCGTTAAGTGAATCTAATTCATAAACAGAACAACCACAGAAAAAACAACCCAGACTTAGCTGACTGATGTCAGTGAAACAAATCAACCTAACAGCTTATTGTTGGTTCATTATTGTTGTTTTAGATATGTTCGTAAGTCTCTTCTCGTTAATCATTCTTTATATCCTTCTGGAGTGAAATCCTTCTTATGTATGTGAAACAGAAGAAACGAAGACTAAAAACTAAACACAGTAGCATAACAGCCTTAGTGGGCCAAGGTCTGCAGTGCCCCTATATCTGCTTTCTTGACCGTAGGCCCCGGGGTGCATGAGTATATATCCCGGACAAGCGGTCATTTTGTCGCAAGAGCCCCGGTGTTTAGTCCCTAAGCGAACTTGGTACTCATTTTATCGACCCACTCAAGGGATTAAAGGCTGAGTCGACCTTGCCCAGCCCGGGGATCAAACCCCTGACCTGTAGTGTCGCTGCGCCACTGGGCTGAAGAAAATAAGAGTATGAGCTAAAAAATTATTTAGTAATTTCATATAAAGGTTAGAAATTTATGTATAATTCTTCTTAAAAATAACATTTGGCTTAAATAAATTTGATTAAGTTAAAAAAAAAGGAATCTCAGAATACTGATTTTTTTTTAGCCTAGCCAAATTCTTTTTCTGAATTTCCACAGAAGAATATGAGGAAGGTAGAGGTGGATATGAGTGAAGAAAGTAGAGGTGAATATGAGTGAAGAAAGTAGAGGTGAATATGAGTGAGGAAAGTAGAGGTTAGAGTGAGGAAATTAACTCTTAATATTATTATTTAGGTAATGCAATATTTTACTATTTAATTTTGCAGTATAGAGTTTTCGAGAAACGCGACTATAGGCGTTTTCGTAATTATTATCTAAACCTGCGGTCTTAAACCTAGTTGCAGCATTTTTCCAAATAAGGTAACGAAATTTGTTAATATTTTCTACTTTAATTAGAGAGTGTATTTCATTTTCTTTCTAATTCCAGTTTCAGTGTAGGAATTAGTGAGGTTTTATAAATACAAACTTTCATTCTCTGCATGTTTCCATACAGTAAAATAGTCTATAATAAGTTATAATATAAAAAGTTTCTTAGTTTTAATTACGGAATTCTCCGGAGCATTCGAGGCAAATTTATTAAGTTTCGAATAATTTTTATAATACCTATTACCAATATATTTCAAATAAATTTTAATCAAACTGAGCGAAAAGCTAAAATACTGATGTTGCTTGTTGTGGTGTTTAACGTTTCCACACTGAGTAAACCAGCATTTGTTTTTAACTTTACAGTTGCCCACATGAAACTACTAATTATTAATACATTCATGGATTTTGAGCGTAAAAGTATGAACATTTTTAGACCTTTCACATAGCATAATAAGTACTTTTATTGGGCTTTTTCAACCATGAGAAAAATGAAAATAGTTCAGTTTTGTGTTTACAATACCCTTTTCTCTCCAGTACTAGAACTGTTTTTAAAAAATTCTCTAATTAATTTTGAGAAAATTTTTAGTTGTAAGTATTGCATCTGTAGGATCTTCAAAACATTTTGCCACCCATTTATTAATATCCTTATGTAGTATTAACGCGCACCTTACCTAGATTTAACACACACCTTACCTAGGTTTAACTCTTTACTTAGGTTTTACACATACTTTACCTTTTTCGGACACCTTACTTAAGTTATTACCTAGGAACAAATTAAGTGTATACTATTACTTGTCAAAGCTAACAGTATACGGTTAACCTGTAAACAATTAAATTTTAATGCATAGGTTTCTAATTTTGTCTGTTTTGAATCATCTTTCAATAAATAAATTAAATTGTTACGTATTAAATTTTAAATATTTGCTTCGCACTTTATTCATATCACGATTTTTCATAGAAAATATTTTAGAAACTGCTGATATAAATCTTTATTGTTAGACTGTATTAAAAATTTGGCTTTAGACTGTTCACGATTTTCTGTTCATTTCTTTATTCATTCCCACTTCTACAGCAACACGAAACATAAAGGTGTCCATTGAAAACATCGTGGAGAAAATGTCGCAGAGAACCCAACACAAGAGGAAAGCATCGTAGGAGAAAAGAAAGTAAGAGGAAAGCATCGTAGGAGAAAAGAAAGTAAGAGGAAAACATCGCAGTTCTAAAATATCATGGTATAAAGCACTGTAATAGAAAACAAGAGTGGTTCAAAAATTTCGCAGTTTTAAAACGTCGTCCTACAGAACATCATGGTTACAAAAAAGCACCTACTATTCCTTATTGTTTCTTGCGCTTACAAATCATTATACGAACATACATTTAAAACTTCATAGTCCAGAAACAAATGTCTACGATGTTATCGTCATGCGATGATTTGATTTATACCACAATATTTTCTTCAAAGATGTTTTAAAACTGCGAAGTTTTTGAACCGATTTATTTTCAGTGACAATGATGTATACCATTATGTTTTAGAATTGCGATTGTTTCTCATTTCTTTCTTTTATCTCACAAGTTTTTGTAAGATAATGTTTTCCAATTTCTTATTTTCTCCGCAACGTTTTCTTTTCAATGTTTTCCCCTGCAACCAATAGAAATTCGTAATTTCTCCATAGTTTGCATTGCAACTCATAGCTGTTTTACCTCTGATTCATTTTATATTAAACATCTTTAAATGAAAGCATTTCGTCTTTGAAATGGAAATTAACAAAATAGTTCGTAGTTTCAAAAATGTTATATTATTTAGAGATATTTTAATTTTATTTCAATTAAAGCTGTCAAAGTCTAAAATCAGCAACATTGTTTCTTAAATTAAATGCAAGAAGAGAAACTACCAAATTGCTAAGTGTGTCTAAACACTGAGGCAAAAAAAGAGAAAAACTGTGGAGTGCTATTAGTTCCTAAATTATTCACACTGCTCGTGCGTTAATGTGTGGGACAGTCACATTGCACGTGCGAATATCCATTCTTGTAAAATGACCACAAAAAATGTTGTCGTGGAAGTATATTTTGAATAGTAATTATTTCATTTTGTTCAAAGAATAAATATACAACTTAACAATGAACACAAGCAGCAAACAAATATTGCAAATGTGTGCTTTTACGTCTACACTATGCAGTGTAGTAATAGTAATCACTTTTACGTCTACACTATGCAATGTAGTAATATTAAACACTTTTACGTCTGCACTATGCAATGTAGTAATATTAAACTGTACACTGTGAGTAATATTAAATACCAAAGCAGAGCCAAGGTTGAAGCGTGTCAATACAAAATGAAAAAAGGAGAGAAATAAAATTTTATTACATTAAACGTAAATGTAAAAATGATGAGCAATAGCTTTTAGGAAGCGTAAATTTGAAATATGTCGATACAGGAAGCGTTACTGATAAATTCTTTCAGTCTTAAAAATGCTTTTAGTCTTGCGTAAAAGGCTTTATTTTTAGAACTTTAGTGATAATAATTTAACAATAACACCTAATGTCCTGAACTGAAGAACTCTAAATACAAATTATAGTATTAAATAGATGGAAAGGCATTTCCGCTACCTCAGTTTTGATTCTGCATTGTACATAGAATGGCTCGAAAGTTTTAAAAAAGAGCGAGGGAGAGAAAGAGATTTTGTAATTATAAAAATAAGAAATATGAAAACTCTGATTGTATGAATAAGAATTTATATTTTAAATTTAATTACTGGATTCTCGGGTATAAACACTTATTTATACTCAAAGTTAATTTTATTGATTGTCATCATGCCTCATGTTTCAAAATACTTTTCTTTTTCAGATGGTAGCATCTAGTAATGGCCCTGATCGGTGTAACGGTTGGCGTTCCTCTCTGCTGTATCGCTCATTGGTCTTGGGTTTGAATCCAGAAGAAGGCGCAGTATTTGTAAGCGTATAGTGTATGTGCAACGTAGAGACACTGAAAATGCACGGCGAGCTGAATGACCTCTTTAGTAGTTTGGCTGTGGGGAAGAGGGATATGAGACCCTAGAACACATCTCCGGGGGCGCTCTTCATCAAAATTAGGGCAGAATTGGATTAAGTAGTACTGCCACCTGTAAGGTGCACAGGGATCATACAATAACGACATACACAATCTTGCGCTCCTTGCCACAATAAAATTCGTGGAATTATTCTGATTTGGTCACACAAATGAGACGAACCACAAGAAGAGTAATAGATAAACTTCAAATAATTTGGACTGCATTTCGCATAATGTTCTGAAAAAAAAAAAAAAAAAAAAAAAAAAAAAAAAAAAAAAAAAAAAAACCACACATGTAAACTCAAAATAAATCGGATACATGTTACTGTAATCACACAGATACCTTACAGAATCCCTTTATGCAGTGTGAAGAGTGTGATAAACTGGGATCCATTTGAATAGTCTTAAAGTTTTAATAGTATTTTTATTCTTTTATTACTTCTTAAAGCACCGATATTAATTTTTGATGCTTTTAATTACATTGTGTTCTCTGTATTTCGAAATGTATCATAATTTTTATATTCGATTTACTGTTTTAGATGTATGTTGCTAAAACACTGAGAACGACTTCAACATCCAAAATCGTCTTCATGTGTAAAGAATACTACTAAAGAATCGATTCTCTGTCAAAATGTTAGAGAATAATTTTCCGTGGTTCCGAGTATTTAGCCATTTCATCAAGAAAGGCTTCAGTAAGCCAGTTAAATAAGCCAGTTTTAAAGTTCAGTAAGCCATTTTCATACGCCACAGTATTAGAAACTAAGAAATCATAGACCAAGGGAGGATAAAGAGAAGAAAGAAAATCATGGAAAAGAAAGAAGGGATTTTGAATTTCATTTCTCAAAATATTGGATGTAATATTTCATTATGAAATTTGAACTAAATGAAATTTTTTCATTAAAAAAACTCAATGCAGAATAAACTTATATGTAGCAAATAGAAAATCAGTAGTAGTCAGTAGACATACTACTATATAGTATAGCAATAGATATCTAGATATCAGTTAATTCCACTCATACCAGTGGCCGTAAAACTGCTGAACAGTGTTAGTTCAAACTGGATTCAAATCTCAGCGGAAGGGTTGGTTACATACATGGGAATATTTTTGTGTTCCTACGCTCTACGTTTAACATGAATACGGGACAGTTTCTCTTAAAAGGTTCTCCATGGGAGCATTTCTTGACTTAGGTAGTTTTTCAAAGAAGATTACTGTATATTCATTCATATGGTAGATTTTGTCAAAATGATGTATGAAATTAGAAAAGCAGCATTTTATAGCTCATTTTGATGATCACTTACAAAAACAGATTCACCCTCATTTTGTATGATTCTAAATGAATACATAACTACAGTATCAGTAATAGTTGATAACCTGTTTTAGAATGTCAGAAAAAAATAATTTCGTCTGTGATACTTTTTATACTTGTATCAATGATTCGACTGTAATGCTGGTTTTGTTGCGTGAATGTGATCACTGCCGAAAACGAAACTTCACAGGAACGTTAGCAGACAGCCCTTAATTGCTCAATCAATCTAAAATATCAGTTTCATCATAAATACTCAAGCAGTCTGAAATAATAAAAAAGCCCGTGGAGATAACTACATGCTATTTGATTATGAATTTTTGTATGTTCATAACAAAAAGCAAAAGATTTGCGATTGAAGTACTGAGTTCAGATTCAGTTGGACCTCACTAGAATCCACCTAACGTACTTCTCAATTTTTTAAAAAAGATCATAATTCCAGTCGTAGGCCACTGCAGACTTAAATGTTAGGAATTTCAGTATCTTTTTGTTGTAACGTTTATCGTAAAAACAGCAGGCAGTTCTGTCGTTTGTTGGTAAGGATTATTGTTGAAACTAGCCTTTGAATGTACGACTTATTTTATGTATGACTTATCAATAAAGGTCCTTTACGTTGTCAAAACCCTGAGCAAAGAGACAGCAAAAACATCTTTTATCGCAACGCAAGCTGAGCGTTCTCGTTTAAAGGGAATGGGATAAGGCGAAGAGGTGAAATAATTTAAAGCATATGGGCAGCAAGGTCTGGCCAAACAAAATATGAAACCTAATATATGGTTATATCATAATACTACACATATGACGAAACACACAGTTTCCAATTTTAAGTTGCTACAGAGCCCAAATTCAAGAAAGGTTTATAGTTCAAATTTCAATGATCAAGATGTAGCCTGGCATGAAGCTTCAAAGTGTAACATTTATATTTAACAATATTAGCGCTCGATTTTATGTTTTTATACTAAAATATATCGTAGTGCTTTTTTTATTCATGTATATTGTTTCCCCAAATGTTTAAATAAAAATATACTACTTAATATTAAGTAAAACAAAATGCTGTACAAAATATTTACTTTTTAAATCTTCATTGCATGACATGTTAATATTAGTCTTGTCACTTTTCATATGCTATATTCTTTCATCTAATCTGTATTATACATTTATTTTAAGTTAGTTTAGTTTATTATTTATTTATCACGAATTTAAATTTACTTATTATTACCTGCTCATATAGCTTTTAGTATTTCTTATTACACTCATGTCCATAAATTAAGGATAATTCGGAGTCACGCGGAAATCGAACTCTAAAATAAATATATCACCTGTAAAATCACTACACACATCTTCAAGAATCATATGCAAATTTCAGTAAGTAACCAGATGACACCGATGGTACGTCACAATGACGAGAGTGTAAGAGAGTGATATATAAGGAATACAGGCAAAGAAGTAAAATTGTTCGCAAACGCTTTAAAGCATTTCAGTGCAATAACCGAATAGTTATGACACAAAGGACGCATTTGGATGATTTTTTACGTGGTAGAATTATCGGCCGTCTGGCGTACCCAACTGGAAGTATCAGACGAACTTGGAATTGCCAGAGTGTCATCTCCAGGCTTTGGCAACGATTCCAAGATGATGGTAATGTGAGTGGACGTTACAGCACAGGTCGCCCCAGAGTTACAACGCCGAATGAGGACCGGTATTTGGCAGTTACTTCCAAAAGAAACAGGCGGAGCACACCTGTCTCGTCAGCTCTCTTCAGTCACTGGTACGACAATTTCAAGGCAGACCGTGTACAGACGCTTAGGGCAGATTGGTCTATATGCTCGCAGACCTGTCAGATGCGTTCCACTTACTGCAACTCACTGTCGCCTGCGGTTAGCCTGGAGTAGAGAGCATGCATTGTGGACACCGCAACAGTGGGCTTGTGTGATGTTTTCCGATGAGTCCAGGTTTAGCTTGCAGTCTGATTATCGCCAGACTTTCATATGGAGAGCTCCAGGTACCCGTTACCATCAAGAAAACATCATTGAACGACACCGTTACGGTGGTGCAGGAGTGCTCGTTTGGGGGTGGAATTATTCTGGGTTCCAGAACTGACCTGCATGTTCAAATTGAGACCATGACAAGCGAAATCTATCGGGACGTCATTCTGGAACAACATGTACGTTTCTTTCGAGGCGCCATGGGCGCACAATTTGTGTTTATGGATGTCAACGCCCGTCCTCACCCTGAAAACATCGTAAGCGAATGCCTTAAATCGGAGGATATCACCCGTATGGACTGGCCAGCATTCTCACCGGACTTGAATCCAGTAGAGCACGTGTGGGACATGTTTGGTCGACGAGTTGCAGCCCGTCAACCTCCTTCTACATGTCTACCGGAACTTCGGAGAGCATTGCTTTTGAGTGGTGTAATATCCCCCAAGATCAGATCGATAATTTGATACTCAGCATGCCTAGGCGTTGTACGGACTGTATTGCAACGTCTGGGAGACATACAATGTATTAGCAATCATACCAAGCATGTAATATTGGTTTTTTGTAAATAGGTTTTTTTTGTGATTTGCTCCAGGGAGAAAAAATCGCTAATTTTTTTAATAATATCAAACATATAGCATCTTTTTTTGCTCTTTACCTTTTGTTTAATAAATAAGCTTTACAAATAAATCAAATTTGTTTTGCTTCTAACTCTTCCTTTGCATGATTTTGCATTATCCTTAATTTATGGACATGAGTGTATTTAAGTTTTAATTATTGGTAATTTATCCGTTTTTTATGTTGCTTGACAACCCTTTATAGGGCTCCGAACCTTTTAAATTTAGATGCTAAGTTTTTTCAAGCAGACACACTTCCTTATAGGCCATAGAGATCAGGAAAAGATGTTTTAGCAAAACATTTGTTAAAAGATGTAGAATTTTTAAAATTTTCCAATACATGTGTTCTATGCTTTCTTATTACTCTGCTTGCTACAATTACTACGATAAAATCATGAAGAACCTTTAGGATCTTAGAATTCGTTTTATATAAATTAACATTTTCAGTGCTCAGTTTTGACAATTTATCATTCAGGATGTTTTCATATATACTTGATTTATACGAAATAATTAATCCGACTTTAGGTATATAGTATTGAAGGCATAAAATTTTAAAATTAATTAAAAGAGTTGATATTAAAATAGAAGGAACACTTTTTTTTATACATTTGCTAATATTTTCAGTAAATTAACAGAGACCGGAATACAAATTTTTTAATTAGAAAAGGAAAAGTGGGAAGCGTAAAAAAAGCAGGAGTTTGCAAAGGGTGCAGAAATATGAGTAAATCAGAAAAAAATAAGCATTTGAATAAAGAAAATGTTCTCACTGGGAATTAAAGTGGATTATACTATATTTAATATTAAGATTCATTTAATTTCTTCTCTTCACTTATCGTTATTTACAAGTTTAATCAAAGAATTTTGAATAAAATTCATACAGACAGCTATGAACTTGCAGATCATTACGCAAATACAAACCAGCTTCCTTTGAGAATACTTCACGAAGGAGTATTTTCCCTTAGGTAAACAGCCTTTGTGCACTTTACTGTATTGAGTTAACTAAAGATCCAAGATCATTAAGATCATTTCCGAGGAATGTTTATCATTTCAATTTCATTAGTTTTGAATGCATTATATGATTATTCATTAATACCCTTCGGACGAGTAAAAACTTTTATTATTATTTTATATAGAACCAAACATGATATAAGGTATTTCTCCCACTTTCCTAGCGTCATTCGACATTCCAGGAGGACAATCCAGGTCATTTTAGTGGTTCTGCACGCTGGGCTAGTAATTCAGAGGTCCGTGGTTCGATTCCCGGCGAAGGCGTTTCCAATTTTTATCTTGTCTGCTTTCAAAAAAAAGTACCTAATGTCTCTACAATGATTTTATTTTAGAAATTTATTTGCTGCCCAAATGATTGTTGATAATTTAAGTAAGGAAATTA